CTGTGCAGCTTGGATCTGAAGCTCAGGTACCATCAATTGCCTTTGGTGCTCTGGATTATGTCCAGGCTATCACACATATAAAAAATGTCATAAGAATCTAAAACTATTGCTGTAGCATCAATCACATGCAAAATACTTGTAAAGTGGTAGCATTCATGATCATTTCAAATATTCGAATCAACCGCACATAGATATAAACCTTAGTAAAACTGAATAGCCAGAGAAACAATTTAAGAATAGGACAAAAATAATAAAAATTTATGCCAGAAAAGAAAATCGAAACATCAGCATTAAACTGCACAAGAGAAATTCCTTCCTGATAAGTCAAGAGGCACTAATCCAACTGCAATATTGTAAATATAAACACCTATGATCAATGGCATGAATTCAAAACTCCCAAGACTAAGCAAGTCACCATATTGAGTGGTACTGATAATCTAGAATCACATTTCCAAGTATGGTGGGAAAAAAAATGATATTCTTGGCTTAAGTTAGCAGCCAATCATGATAAGCTCACAACTTGAAGTTAAGGAAAACATATTTTCTTTCTCTGCAGGTTATCTGGAAAATGAGGAAAAAAAAAAGCTTGCAGGTAATAAAGAAGCTAAGTCAGAGAAGATATAGGGACATGCATATAATTTACACATTCAAACTTGTGCTCTAAATTTTCAATTTAATTGTCAACAGTTATAAATGGACAACCTAAGATTTTAAACATCTAGTTCACAAATGCACAAACACTAGTATTAACCTCATCTTTTAGGCACATTATTTATGGCCAAAAATCAATGCAGTTTATCAATACATCACCGTTAATATTCAACAAAAGATGTGCAGGTGATGATAGCATTAATTGAAAACAAACATCATTATACTGCCATAGAAAAATAAATAACTCACTCGCATCATGTGCATGGCATCACGAGGTCTCAACATAGAATTTCCTTGACCGAGACCAGGTCCAGAGTGCATATTTACGTTTGGCATTGCTGCCATATTGGAGGAAATCATACTGCCAGAGTTCACCATTGATGATGAGGCCATTCCTTGAAAACCTGGCCTTGAGATTGGCACATTTCTGTTTGTTCCAGACATAATGCCCATACCATTTCCACCAGATAGCATCCGAACACCATGATCACCTCCAGATATAGCTCCAGGAATGGACAAGTTGGACTGCTGAATGTTCCTACTAGAAAGCATTTGATTGTATTGTTGCATTCTATGCTGCTCATCAGCTGGTAAAGGTGTTCTTGGAACACCATATCTAGCATCTCTGAGGACAATTATGTGAACCAATATATTCATCAACACATGAAACTAGTGAGACAAATGAGACTGATGACTATATATTAGCTTAATACCTGACAGAAGTATTGAGTGGAGCAGACAGTGATGACATATTATTGCCAACAACCACAGCAGAATAATTCTGTAATGAAGAATTTGTTCCAGAAGTTGGAAGTACCGATGCTACAGCTCCTTGATTTGATACTGCTAAACTGCTGGGAAGGGCAGGTTGATATCCAATAGGCAACACATCTTGACCCGATCCATTCATATCACAGAGTTCAAGAGGCCTTTAACCAGATAATTTGAAATATAAATGATATCATCTCATGTCCATCATAAATGATAAAATAGCAAGAGAATTGAAAATTTTTATGGGAAAAGAGAACTGATGAGAATTGACTAGTTCTAACATTTAGTCCAACAGGACTACAAAAACTTACGTTAGCATTCCATTCAAGTTATTGGGACAGACTTGAGAGAGAGCAATCAAATGAGAATTGTGGACTGCCACCATCTGTTTTGTATCCTGATTTTTATTCTTCACAAAATACAAAAGAACAAAAAGAAAGACCAAGTCAGGAAAACCTCAAAACAGAAAGAAATAAGCTGAAGTGAAGAAAGTGAACTTAGGAGACTTTCTAGTAATGAGTCATATATTCTCTGGCATACTTGTAGCTGACACAACACAATAGGGACAAAATCAGAAAAGACTAAAAAAAGGGATACATTTTGGATTAAAATTCAATTAAAAAATTTTCAAGAGAATGAAAATTTGATAAACCAGAAAGTGTTTGAAAAGGAGGAAAGAACAAGGAACATGCACAACAAAACAAATGCCAATTAAATATTAAAAAAAAAGAAGAGGATTTTCTCTCTCTCTCTCTTTTTCAAAATTCAACATAATATTAAAACTTCAAAATCCAATTTTATTGTGATTCAGTTTCACACGATCATTTAAAGCTCCAAAAGAGATTGGAAGTTTAGAATTGAATTTGAGTCTGAACAAGCAGCAGAAAAGGATAACTATAATATGATAACCTCAACATGCCACGAGGTAAAGTATCCTCGAAAAGAAAACTTTAAAAATTGAAAAAGATAATAACATACTGGATTTCATGCGTTACGATGAAGAATAACAGCATACAATATTAGCAAACCAGCTCTGCTTTTGTAGAACAAGTTGTAAACATTTTACAGTTACATAGCAGCCCCTTTCTTTATTTGGCCAAAGGAAAAGAGCAAATCTACTCAAGCAAAGAAAAAGCAAATCCACCTCCAGGCATTAAAACATCCACAGAAATTTAAACTGAAAATTGCTATAACCAATACTTGCACCTTTAAGCAAGAAGCGAGATGAACTTCTTTTGCATAGGTTATTTATTTATTTATTTTGGCCAAATTGTGCATAGGTTAATTAGTCCAGACTTTTTTTCTCAAAACTAGAAACATGCCTGAATCTCCCAAGTTTATGAAAAAAAAACAAGTACCTGAATCCGTTGATACTGTTGCTTCTTTCCAATCCTTATAATGTTCTCAAAATGAGTCTTAAGAGTATCCTCTTCCACTGGCCCTTGCAAACGTTGAAACAACTGTCTGGCACTTCCCTGCACAATATGCAGGAAAGCAATCCAATTAAAGAAGCTAAAATTAGATCAAATACATGTATGCATACACATTTGTCTGGGAGAGAGAGAACCTTGGGGATGCCAGGCAGTGTAGATGGATAAGACTGAGAAGATCCTGAATCATCGGCACTATCAGCTCCATCACCACTCTGATCCATTAAAAACTTGTGACGCTCTTTGCATTCTTTAGGTTTGCGGAAAATGCACTGTGAATAGCAACAGTCCGTTTGGTTTATCATCCACTAGGGGAACACAGGAAGTAACAAAAATAGGGAAAACAAGGGGCAAAACTAACAAGATATCCAAACATGTGAGAAACACAGTATTTAGAGCATCTTTATGATACATCAGAGGAAACCAATGAAAATTGTTTATGATAACAACAGCATTTTTTACCCATACTAACCTTAAACTGAATGGTACCGTTGATTGCATCACTGACAAGCTCCCAATTTGGACCCATATCATGGACAAGGACAACAAGGGCCTGAATATAATCAAAGTAATGTTCAGGTACATGGTTAGAAAATAAAAAGCCATTAAGAATCAGTGCACATGTTCCAGAAAAAAGTTAACAATAGGTAAAGCAACCTGATCCTCAAATAGTGACCATTGCTTTCCAGAACCTGGTTGGCCAGGAGACATCTGCAAGGAAGTTTAAATGCTTGAATTAACAAATTATATCAAAGTTTAAAAAGAAAAGAAAAGTAAAGCGGCAAGGGCACATGTTTAATTAGGCCACTAAAAAAAGGAGAAACATTACCTTCATTCCTTTAGGTTTTCTGCCTCGGTCGCGGCCAGCAATATATTTAGTGAGTTTATTTGGGTTTGACATATTGCTCACTTGGGATGCAACAGGTGAGGGAATGGACCCACTAGGAATGATGCCAAAACTACTGTCTGGATGTTGCTTGATTATCTTTGGCTTCTTAGCATTATGTTGCCCGTATAAACCTAAGAAAATATATTTGAAGTGTGAATAACATAAATTGCAGCCATATGCATCAAAATGACCATTATAACAAGCAAAGAGTGGTTTACCACTAGTTCCATTAGAATCAAAGTGATGACCCTCAAATCTCTTCCTGGAACAATCCCTCTGAAAAATTAAAAAAGAAGAAAGATATAAAGAACCAAAAAGAAATTGGATAATATTGAGAAGATGGCACTAAGGATGCAAAATTAGGTTCACAATAAAGTGAAGAACAGACCAAGGTGCAGAACTATAGACGAGATGAATGAGTATTCTCACATGTCTAAGAGAATGCTGCATCAAGGAATGAAAGACATTTTATTTGGCCTAATATTTAACTCTTTTTAAATTTTCAAAACTGAAAAGCACTTAAAGCTTTTAAATATTTCTCCATTTAAAAGATACAAAACGAGACCAAATTGAACCAAGCATTAAAGCAATCAAATAAAACCAGGAGTATCTTCTAAAATGAATCTCATAACAGGAAAAAGGTAGTAACAAATACAAGAACACAAGATATAATAAGTCAACATGACAGAAAATTATTAAATTTTATATTAAGGGCTGATTTTTTTTTTTTTCTTTTTTTCTGGCCACCAAGGGCTTAACTCAATTAACAAAAAAATAGCAGGCTGTGGTTTCATGAATCATTTTTGTCCATTCCATCTGATAGAGGGCTATATTCTCTAGAACACCAAAAAAGGCTAAATCTTTTTTCTTACCAGACTTTATGTGATCTCTCTCCTAACTCTCTTTATTCCCCTACCTGAGTCTAACTGCCTTGTACATGCAGAACTCCCAAGCCTAAGTTTCACATGGCTAATCTAATAAGTATTTTTTTCTCAACTAATTCCACCTATATCTTCCTGTGAATAATGTTAGGACCATAGATTGATTCCAACAAAATTCTGAACTAAATGAATTGGCAAAAGTTGCAAAGCTAAAATGGTTAAAGAAAAATAAAGAAAGAAAAATCATACTTACACCAACTTAATAAACTTTAAGAAAATTATAAAGAAAGAAAAATCATATTAGCACCAACTTAATAAACTTGACCCAATAAACATAGCACAATTACCTGTTCATTATGTACAGTAGACTCCAGCTGCCAACCCTGATCATATCCAGAACCCTGCCAAAAAAAAAAAAGAAAAAAACATTCAAGCACCTTCAGCAAAATGAAGCCAAAATAACAGGAAAAACGTTGAAATCATTCCAGGGAGATGTAAACCCCTGGTGTCTGTTAAAACAGAAGAAATGCATCATACATTGTGCTTGAGCTTCTTCATATTAGGTTTCCTTGGTGTTTCAGCAGAATCAAATGCTAAATGCTTTTCAAAGTCCCCACTTGACTCGATCTCCATGCTTTTCTGGATTTGGGATCCTCCATGCTGTGTACTTTGATCATCCTGAAAAGAATTGGTATCCCCACTTGAGGCATCCGTTTTTGCTGGAGTCTGCAGGGGTCCAGGTGCAGGTGCACCATTAAAAGGACTCATAACTCTATTATGCCTGGAATTAGTCCGTATTCGTTTTGTGGGAATTGAACCAGCATTAAAACTACTGGGAGGCCTTTTTCCCAACAACATAGATTGTTGTTGAGATCTAATTGCAGAGTTTCCATAAGGTAAATCAGCTCCCATTTCATATGGTCCCGTTGTGTATGATTTGATTGAATGCTTCCTGTTCTTCTGATTGGCTTTTGATGACTTGCTACCTTGAAAGGATCCAGGCAAATAGTATGTACTTGTTTCTCCCTCATCCTCATCATAGGCCGACTCATGGTATCCAAACTCTAAATTCAAAAAAGACGTTACAAGACTAGAATAATCAGAAGGTAAGAAACTGAGAAGCCAACAGTCTCAATATTACCTGCTCCTGCATCATATGCAGAAGTCTCAACTTCCTCTTGTGCACTAATAGTTTTCTGCCAACATTTCACCCAATAATAAGCAACAATGAGCAGATAAAACTCAAATTCTTGCTAGCATAGAAAAAATTTTAGCAAATTGATGGAGACAATCAAATGTCTAGATCATAGATGATACTGATGCTATTGAGGTAGATCAAACTTGAACAATACACCTAAAATGGACATGCAGATGATTTTTGTTAGTCATTCCTATCACTCAGTCTTTTTGGTTCTAATAAAATTATCCTCTCTATCCAAGAAGGTAAACAAATATGGGCATGCAACTATGATTTTAATGAGTCAATGAGCCATATTACCTCAGTCTGCACCAAATAAGATTCAATAGAATTTCTGTAGGCTTCCATAGATCCTGAGGGTACTGCATAGAAGAGGCTTTCCTGAAAAGACAACCACAGAAAAGTGTGAATGTTAAATATGCAAAGTATCAATAAAATATACTATGTCACAAGATATAAAACCGCCAACCAAGAATGAAAATCTGAAGATAATAGATACTAGTTACAACTATTTGAAAGAAACAAATGGAAGAATTCCAACCCAACTGTCAAAATTATTTAGACAATAAAAATCTGGAAACTACAAAATATTCAACCCATACTTCTGTTTGGTGTTCATCCCAAGACACCTCCATAATACCCAAGTCAAATATCCTGTCAGGAGTAGCTGGTGCTTCTGCTTGAAGGGATGGAACAGGAGAGCTGTTATATTTCAAAAACCTTTGGGCATATCCCTCGATGTTTTTCCTTGGATGCTTCTGGTCAAATTCTTTACTTGTATCCTGCTCATAACATGCACACATAAGATAAGAAACGAAGTTTGAAAATAAAAAATTGTGCAAGTACCTGATTTAAACAAAATACAGAACTGAGAAATGACAGAAAGCTCTTAGCTATAACTCAACTAAAACATCCACCAAGGGATCCGTCACCATGCAATATTCCATCCGATTGGGAACCAGATTTTTGGAAGTTTGAATGAATGTTTAAGATAAGAGCCATCAAAACTACAAAGCATGTTTTTAGTTACCTAATTGGCAATGATGATAATATCAACAACTTTGGAAAGTAAATGCACTTAAAAGTTCAACAGAAAATTTAGAAAGTTTATTTTACAATGTACTACGCCCAAATAGCCATATGAGTTCTTAGAATCATCTTCTTCATGGTTTAAAATAGACCACACTATCTTCTATTTATTAAATAACATTGCGATCGTAGCAAGTGAATATCTCACATATCTAATAACCAAAAATAAATAAGCAAAGCAACTAACCATTATGAATTACCAGCAATGGAAGTTTATGAACAGAAAAGTTAATAAGCACCAGCTTCAAATTAGTAAACTGAAAGGCGATGGTATGTCTATGTAAAAATTATAAAATTAGATTGGCTGAAGTAAAGACAAGGGTCAAGCATGTAAACAGCACCATATCAAGTTCTCCAGTTTTGTCCTTAGAAACTTCATTGGCATCAGCAGCACCTGACCTAACCAAATCATGCCCGCAATTCTTGGGACCAATGCTTGCCTCCTCATTGTTTAGAAGCAGCTGTGCTGAATGCCAGAATTGCATTACAGCATTAGCCAGTGACAACGCTACCTTTTTCTGCTTCCTTAGCTGATTTTGCTCTTCAAATCTCAAACGAGAGGTATAGGCAACGTTACAACATATCTGAGCAGCAGCAGTCATCTTCCAAAGACGTTCCTATAAGTTAACAGTGGAAACAGAAAAGTTTTTAAGAAAAATATTGTTGAAAATGAGCATTGATCATAATTTTCATGTTATCTCATCAAATTGGTCAGATACATAAAAAGCTTACAAGAATTATAGTAAAGGAGAAAAGAATTATGTAACACAAATTCAACAGGATCTGAATTATTAAATGCTAGACCTGAGCAAAATCATTGGCCAACCAAGCCATTTCCTCAAGGACAAAATCCCAGTGAGACTTTCGACAATGCTCCAAGGGTAGAGTACCAACAGATAGCTCTGCAATCCTTTTCCGCTTAGCCTGTTTACCATATTATATTAGACCTTTATGCCTCTCAAATAGGAAAAACCTGGTCCACTTTAGTTTAACGAATAAGTCATTAAGTAGCTAAAGAGACAAAGAGACAAAGAACCCACCTCTATAATTCGTGCCTCTTCCAAAATTGAATCTTCACGGTCCTTGTCCACCAATTTTAAATGTTTATCGAAATCAGTTTGAGGGTTGGTGGCAACATCATCATTTGCCCCCAACAAAGTAATCTCAAGATGATCAGGAATGGAGATATCCACTGTGCCTGGAGGCTTACCAGCAGAATGGTTTACTGTTTTGGAATTTGGGTTGTCACATGACACATCACTAAGTTTCTTCTCAGCTTCTGAAACAGAAAGGACATTTTGTTGCAATCCTTCAACACTAGAAGAATAAACCATCTGATTTTGCATGTTAGATCTAATTTCATCATCGACTTTGATAACTGAATCATTGAGAGAGTGGTTTTGAGATACACCACAATTATTCTCATTGATTGTAGCAATGTCATCAACAGGCCTCATCGCATTCTTTTTTAGTACAAGGTCATTGAGTAACTTTGGTTTCGCTTCTAATTCTGATGTTTCATCAGCAGGCTTTCTGTTAGCATCAACATCTTCTGTGAATCCTGTATCATTATCATTATTCACATCTATGTTTAGGCTACTCTGAGAGCAAGAAGACTCTGAATCTAATCTCTTTGCTCCAACTGCTGCATTACTATTCTGTTTCCCTGCATTTGGTATTGTTTTTCTATCTCTCTTGGAGTCATTAAACCCATTCAGTTGACATGAACTAGTTTCCTTCTCAGCTTTTGTAGCAACTGCACCAGATAGACATTCAAGACCAGCTGAAATTACCTGTTCCTTTCTACTAGCAACACCAGGTTCATCAGAAGCCAAATTGATAGATCTAAGAGCCTCTCCTTGTATTACTTCTTTTTGCTGGACATCTGCTGAGCTTTTTGAAACAGGAGTATCCAATGTACATTCAGATTGATTGCCTTTCAACAGCCTCGTTGTTACTTCAACAGCCTGCACATTATCCAACCCTGCATTCAGCTGGTTATCAGAAATTATCTTCTTTGAAACCAAATCACCATTTGAAGTTGCAAATTTGGGGTTAGAAATGGAGAGAACATTCTGTTCCTTCTGGTTGTTTGTTTCAGATATTGGTCCCTTCATATCCATAGAGCCCCCACGTGCAGGTAAAGAAGACCCATGACCTCCACGGCCCTGAACCATATCTGTTGAACTAGATCTAGCACTATCTCGATTGATTTTGGATCTATTCCTACGGGCATATGGGCGAAAAATTGCAGAATCTTCTGATTCCTTGGCATTTTGAGTCCCATCCATCTGAGAACATTGTTCTGATGGAGCAACACTACTCCTCTTACTACGGTGCATTGAGCTTCTTTTGCCTTCATGTAATTCATTTTCTCCATCAAAAAGTAAGAGATTATCAGCAGTATGGGGTTCACACACTGCCAGAACCCCTGGCCTACCACTGCTCTCTACAGAGTCACCATGAGGTGAAGCAGTCTGTGCAAAACTACCTTTTGCTTCACTGTAATAACAAAAGACAAAGAGAAGCATTAGCAGATTTATTAGAGAATAATTTAGAAGCACAACCCAGTAACACTGAGGGAATACCTGGTAGCAAAATGTTCTGCTTGCTGATCAGTGAGAGAGGTAGACTGGACACTAACTGAAGTTGCATTTCCAAATTTGAAATCTAAGGGATTGCCACCCTGAAAGAAAGAAGCATTGATGGTAAATATTCATTTATAAAGAAAACAAATCAAGCAAGAAGACAAAATTCCATACTTTTTCTAGAAATTCTAGTTCCTTTCTCCTTTCTTCACGAACATCATATTCCTGCCTGTCATTGGCAAAGATAAGAAAGAAAATTTATGTTCAGACTAGTAGATGAAATTTGTTAATGTGATAATTACAAGGGCTATGATTAAATTAAAATTGAAATTTAATTGTCACCTAAGCTCTGCTTGAGCCTTCTCTATTGCTGCTCTACGTGGAGAGGTTTTAACACCAATCCCAACTCCGCCATCAACAAGCCCTCCCATGGAATCAACCTCAGCATTTACCAGGAGAGCAGATCCTGAATCACATCCATGCATCCCTACCTTAATGGCTACAGGCTTTCCACTCCCATTGATTTGGAACAAATAATATCAACTTCCTAAAAGCAGATTCACAAAATAAAGATATATCAGAATGAAATCAAAAACTATAGAAACAAATAAATTCAAAATAAGAAATAAAAATAAAGAAATATTTTCACCCTCAAAAGCTGAAACAGGTGCATTAGTCACACACATTAACACAATAGAATAAAAATCATTATCTCAAAGACTCAAGCTTTGAAAGTTCACACAGGCAAAGCAATTGTTAATTTAACATTTGAAATTCAATCAAGATAAATTTTGGGAAAAACAAGAAGAAAGGTACTGTTGAGAAGCACAGATCTGCATGAAAACACGGACTGTGCCACTGTGCACCAAGTTATGGAATCACAACAAATGGTCAGCAGTGGTGCAGTGACATGAAAGAACCAAGAATCAGAATACATATATTATACTATAAGGAGTACCACTATAGAAAGTTTTTTCCTAGAAGAGATCAAAGTAAATGTTTGTAAACATTTTTAATGTGTGAAAGCATGGAGTACAAGAAAGAAACAAGATAATCAATATCATACGAATTACAATCCCTTTACAGCTTGAAAGATTAATGCAAGGTTTTTCTAGCTTCTTTTGCACAAAACTAAACTTAATTCAATTCCTTCTCAACCAAAATTATCTCAGAGGGTGGTTGTGCAGCTCAGTCACAGCATAATATGAGTTGCATAACTCACCAATTATCACTAAACTTCAACAAGAAGGTGCTGCCTCAAGGTTGGATGGTTAAGGTTAAATAAAGGAAATGCATTGCCTGTCTTCAATAAGAAGACCTGAGCAATGCTGAATTATGGTTGGTATCAATGATAGTATAAACATGAATAAACATGCACGCTTCATACCATATATATGAATAACCAGGATAGCAACAATATCATGAAAAGAGCTCAGCACCAACATTTCTCTCCTACAACACCTCGAAACCATTCAGTAGTAGTTCAAAACACTAGCTAACCAACAAAATATAGACGCCACTAGGTTCTCACCAGCGCTTAGCATTCTCAATGCAAATAAACCCGTGTACAACACCACTTACCCCATAATCTACAAGCATTCAATCAAAACGCGCGCAAAAGCATAACCAAATTCGTGCTCATTGAGCTCACACAAACCCTAAAACGCATTCAATCATTCAAATTGTGCCCTAATTTCACTGAAACAAAATTCTAGGGTTTTTAAAAGCTGCCAAAGACAGCAAAATTGAGCACGAAATTACCTCAATTGAGAGCGGAGTGACAAAATTAGGAGGTAGGGCACAGCACTGGGACCACCGGAAACCCCTCTTCTCGCTCAAACACTACTCTGCCCTAGGGTTTTCAACCCTCGCCGTGTCTCAATAAAAAATACAGGAATTTGCCCTAGAATTGGACAGTTCCCTGCAAATGCAAGCCATGAACGCGTTGTTGAGTCCCTCCCTAATGGAGTCGTGCCTCTAATTTTCGTTTTCGCTCTGTAAAAAATTTTGGATTTTAGATTTTGAAAAAAAAAAATTTTTCGTTTTTGTTTTTTCGTTGGCTTCGGGATTACTATGCGATGCGACACCTCTCTGCGAGTAGTGGGCTTGGGTTTTGGTTTTCACGAAGAAGACGACCACCACCACGCTCACTGCTTTACGTGTTTAGATCTGTTTTGGGCTATTTTTTCTTTTCCTTTTTTTTTTTTAATCTATCCACGGTGGTTTTTTATTTTTATTTTTATTTTTTTTTAAGGCGTATTAGAATTCAACAACAAACCAACCAATATTATTTTATAAATTAAATTTAAAATTTAAAATTTAAAATAATAATTAATTTCTTAAAAAAATCAAATCAATATAAAGATATTTTTAAGATTATTTTAAAAAATTATTTTAAAATATATAAAAACTTACCTAAAAACAAATAGATTAATTGTAAATAAGAAAAAAAAAGTTCAAGGCTACAATTCCAAATAGATTACTATCTCTTATTTTGAACACCAAGAGAAAATTCAATCCATTAACATTAAACATCACATAAAATCATCCTTGGTAACATGCAATTTTACAATTTGATAAAGAGATAAAGATTTTTTTTTGGTCCAAACTAACCAAGAAAAGTGTTTGTTTGTGCCGATTGGAAAAAAAAAAAAAAAGGTGTTTAATTGTGCCAATAGAAAAACGGAAAATGTTTGTTTGTAGACCGTACAAAATTTTAGTGCTTAATTTATTTTAATGAGTTTCCTTTCAAAGAATTTAGTTTAGGCAACATAACTAATTATTATTAATTATTTTTATGCAATTGAGACTCAAATATAAATATGTATCTATTAGTTTAATATTAATATAATTATTATTGTCATGGATATAATTAAAAAATAAAAATTTAAAGATTAAAATTTTATTCGAACTCACACTATATCTTTCTTTTCTTAATAAAAGCTATTACTTATATTTTTAAATATATAAAACTTTATTTGGGATTGCTATACAGTGTTATATTATGTTGTGATGGTAAGGTTTTTTTGTCTTTTATTACCATGTCAAGACATATAAAATGTTACTTAAAATTAATAATTATAATAAATTTTAATTTATTAATAAGGTATTACGACAAAAAAAATACTATATACAGTAATTCCAAATGAAATGTAGGTGATTTTGGGAATGATATAGGAGGGTATTTTGATAATTTGGTCACTTCATTTATCTACTTCAAAGCAAATATATGCAGTAGAAGTCCTTACAAGTATAGTTTGATTTTTTTTTTTTCTAGTAAAAAGATAATATTCAGATTTTCTATATTTTATAAAAAATAATATGTAATTTTGTTTACACCATAAATTGCAAAATTTTAAATTAATGCCACGTGTAAAATATTTTTTATTGGTTGGAGGAGATTGAACCATGTCAGATTCAGATTCTGGACCCAATGACAGATCAACACTTGTATTGGCAAAAGAGAAGAGGTAAAGATAATTTTTTATGGAGTAATTATCTTCTTGAGACAGAAAGGGATAATGGGAGCTGAAACATAGGAGAAGATTGTAGTTAAAAAGGGGGTTTTATCTGATAAGAGTACAGGTGGCGAAATCTGCAAGGAGATTAGACTAGGTCAAAAGGTGAGGTGTCCCACTACTTCAAAAAACCATTCATGATTGAGTAACTGCAGAAAGTGGAAATTATTGCCGGCACAAGGAGAACAAAAAGGAAATTTTGGAAGGAAGAACACACGGCCAGTCCTACTCAAACAACTGCCAATTTTCATACTTTCATTTTCTCTGCACATGCTTCTAAATTTCGAATTTCAGCACAGATTCCAATAGAATTAGGGTGTTCTTCATCATTTCAGTAGACAATTTAATTTATGTACTTGCTACATCAGTTTCACTTCATGCAATGAATTTCAACATTTCAAGTTTCTTCCAGATACTGTTTATTTTCTGTCTGTAATTAATTTAGTGTTTATTTTAAGTAGCATTGCTTCAATGATTACTTACGTGGCTTTCATGCTTCTTTCCAACTTCAAGCTCTTCAATTTATTCACTGTTCACGTTTAATTTTAGTGTTAATTAAGGTTAAATTTCCAAGTCTGCAGCAATTTAACTTCCAAATCTGTCAATAGATAGCATTTTAATTTTACTATAAGCATGTTTAATTTAATTTGGGTACATTTCTTTATCGCAAATATAGTTTAAATTGCAAGCAATTTAGAATAATTAAGATTTGTTAATTTTAAGTCACGGTAGTGTTTTAAGTCCTTGGAGTTGTCCAAGGCAGATTTCGTAACCCATTTTGTAGGAAGGTATCCCTTTCTCTTGCAAATCGTCTGAAGGCGCAAATTTCATTTTAATCCAACGTTCTTCCCGCCATCTGCAAAGAAGTCGACTGTGAGGAAGGAGAGGGTCGTTGGGAAAGTCCTTATTTCTTACTTTCAGCAAAGTAAGTGGCACACCCGCATCTAGATTTCACACATGCGAGGCCACTAGAGGATTTTTGAGGAAACAATCCTTTTTTGGCATGCCCAGTGGGACCTCATCGTGTCTTACTTATAAATTTTCAGATCCGTTGTTCTTTTTTCCAAGAAAAAGTGTAATTATGCCACCAAAAAGAAACGTTGGGAAGGTTGCCCAGACTTTACAAATTGGGCTTGGTGAAGGCAGTCCAGCACACTCAGAAGGAGAGAATGAGCCAATCATTCCACCACCATTGTCACTAATACTTGGGGAGCATTATTTTGTCAATCCTACCTTCAACAAGGATAGTGAATCTGGAGATGATGTTGCTCAATCTAGTGATTCTCTTGTGAAAGTTGTGTCAGATCAGATTAGCATCATAAGGCACACACTGCTGGAATCTAAGGAGAAAGCTCAACAAAGAAGCCAAGAGGTTGCTAGACAGTTGGATGAGTCTTTTCAGAATTTGGCTCAGAATTTGGCCCAAAGTGTAGCCGACATGCGGCGATCCAATGAAAAAAGTGCCAGAATCTGGCGTGAGCAAATTGCAGAAAATTGGAGAGCTTTCCAAGCTGAAACAGAACGAATGCAGGAGGCATTTCGACATGCTAGAATTGATCCTCAACCACAAGCAGCAGATCTTCAAAGGCAGAATCAGAATATTCCATCTCTAGCACTCGGGGGGCAAGTTAATCTGCCACAGCCACCTCCCTAAATTCAGCAGGCAGCAGGTGGACCAGTCCAACCAGATCTTGTTAAGGCAGCACCACGTGCAGCAGAACTAGGTAATCACCAGTAGCCCAGATATCTGCTACCTCCGCGCCAACCGAATAGAGGACATCAACAACATAATGCGCCTCCACTAAGGGAGCATTTTCAGCCTTATGTGCCACCCAGGCAACAAAATCTTCAAAATCTGTTAGGGCAGTACATTAATCGTGATCAAATCATCGATATGGTGTAGGAGGCTTATGGTCTAGTTTTGAGGCCTCTAGTCATACCAGTTTATAGAAAATCATATCCAGATTTCATAGACCAAGAGAATCCTTTTCCAAAGGGGTTCAAAGTTTCAAAATTCACTCTATTTTCTAGAGATGGTGGATATTCTACAATTGAACACATAGGCCGCTTCACAATTCAGTGTGGCGAGGCCTCTGGTGATGATAATATGAAGCTCAGACTTTTTCCCAGCTCATTAACTAGTACAACTCTCACTTAATATTTGAGTCTGCCACAGAATTCAGTTTATACTTGGAGGCAGATGGAAGATCTTTTCCATATCCAGTTTTACCGTAGTGAGCCAAAAGTGTCCATGGCAGATTTATCTCGTCTGGTGCAACGACCAGGAGAAACATCTGAGGCCTTTCTTACTAGATTTTGGAAGGCCAGACTTAAGTGCATATTTGCCTTGCCAGAACAGAAATTTGTCAAGCTGGCACAAAATGGTCTGGACATTGAATTGAGGAAAAAGTTTGAGGGAATGGAGTTTCGTGATTTCTTTGAGTTGTCTTACAAGGTGGGTTGTTATGAAAATTTATTGCGAGAGGACACACAAAGGAAATCTGCATCTCATGGGACTTATTATGGTGATGCTAACTTTGATCTGGATGTGGTAGAAGTGGTGGCAAACAAGCTAGTTGTTTGCTCAGATTTGGTTAAAGTGGTCCAGCAGACCGTCAAAACAATAAAACGTTATGTCGAAGAGGCTGGAAAACAATACACCTTTGACATTTCAAAGACTAATGAAATTTTTGACCACCTTAAAAAGAGTGATCTAATTAAGTTGCCGCCAGGACATAAAATCCCAATGGCTGGCGAAATTGGAAATAGAGAATATTGCAAATATCATAATTCTTGGAAACATTCCACTAATGATTGCATGATTTTTCGTAATGTTTTATAAGATAAAATCGACAAGGGTATTCTGTGTTTTCCAAACAAGGCCAAAGAAACTATGGGAGTTGACGCAAATCCATTCCCTACCATGTCTGTTGGGGTGAATGCGGCAGATCTCATGAGCATTGCCAGGGACAGAACTCAGACATACTATAGGCGTAGACTTGCAACTGATGATCTGAGGTGGGTCATTGAGGAGGCAAGGGCCCGCAAAAATTAGGTCAGATCAGACTCATACCGAAAGAGATAGCTTGGGGGGCATAACTTAACTCAATAGAAAAATAATGCAAATCAGGGAACTGTGACATCTAGACGCGCAGAAAAGCCCAGAATGGTGAACCCACCACTCAGATCTCCAAGCAAACGGTGGGAACGTGTGGTGCATCCAAAATTTCTTAAGGGTTAGAATCCAAGGACCTTGAGGAGGCATCTACAACGTAAAAGGGCAGCAGAAAGACACCGACAGCAGATTATAGACTCAGGGGGCATGGCAGATCAGGCTCAGCCGCTCCTAGCAAGAAGAAAATCAGTGTGGGTCCGTAAAGAAAAAGGGAGCTCATCTGGTCAAAATTCTCCAGAAAAGGAGGAACCACTTAGAAGTCCAACATCACCTTGAGTTCTAACTGTGGAATCAAATGAAGAAACCGGTTTGAAGGCGAAATTTGACATGTCGGATAAAGCGAAAAATTCATCAGACATAATTCATTTTGGTGAGTTTTCCGTGAATCTATCTTGCTTGGTGATCACTCTTCCTTTGGTCTTTCAAGCAAGAGAGCAGTCAGAATCTGCAGTCTGTCACAAGACAGATTTGACTGAGGAAGAAGAAGTCATTGAGATCCCAACTAAGTCAGAATCTGCAGTGGTATGGAGTTAGCAGATAAAATCATTTTTGAAAAACCAGAAGAGAGGATGGCCAAACATATCAAGCCATTATACGTTCATGCACATCTGGATGGTATGCCGATAAATCGAGTTCTGGTTGATAATGGAGCAGCTGTCAATGTTTTGCCAACTTATTCTACACAAAATTGGCAAATCTTTGGGTGATTTAATGGAGACAGAAGTAACAATCAGTGACTTTACTGGTGGAGTAAATCGCTCAAGGGGAATTTTGCCAGTAGAACTTACCGTTAGAAATAGAACTCTCATGTGTGCATTCTTTGTGGTTGACACCATTACCACTTATAATGCATTGCTTGGGAGAGATTGGATACATTCCAACTGGTGTGTTCCTTCAACTTTGCATCAGAAATTAATATTCTAGAATGGTGGCAGAACTGAAGTCGTGACAGCAGATGACAAGCCATTTGTGGCAAATACCAATGCAGTGGAAGCTCGTTATTATGATGAAGATATTGGGACTATCTGTTTCTTTGGGATGGACCGCTATGGCAGACTTTCTAGAATTACTGCTTGCACCAGATCTGCAGTGGACAGACAGACTGTGAAGGAGGTGTGTGATGAACTACTTCAGCCTATAGCAATTGTTCCTTTTAGGTCGAGGAAGGAACCTAAAATCAAAGAAATTCCATGAAGAAAGATCGAATTAAGCACCAGAAAAAGGAGGCCGTGGAAGAAATCAAGAGAAAATTAGCGACTTACCTTGCAGAAAAACGAATCTATGTAGACAAATCTGAAGTAGTCTATGAAGGTGAAGAAGAAGACTTGAAGGATCAAATAACACTAGAGGAATTAGATCTGGCACTAGCAAAACTTGATGATTTGAAGGCAGAAGTACAAGATCCCTTGGAAGAGGTAAATCTAGGTACTGAGGCAGATCCAAAAATTACTTTTATTAGCGGTTCTCTTGAGCCATGTTTGCATGATAAAATTATCAATATTTTGCGTGAATACAAGGTTTGTTTTGGTTGTGACTATTTTGAAATGCCAGGTCTGGACAAAAATCTGGTAGAGCATAGATTACCAATTAGAGAAGATTTCAAGCCTTTTAAACAGTCGCCTAGACGAATGTCTCCAGAAGTCACCTTAAAAGTTAAAGAAGAGATAGAGCGGCTGTTAAAGGTTGGTTTCATCAGAACTTCCAAATATGTGAAATGGTTATCTAATGTGGTTCCTGTGGTTAAAAAGAGTGGCAAGTTGAGAGTCTGTGTAGACTTCAGAAATCTGAATCTAGCAACACCAAAAGATGAATATCCTATGCCTATTGTAGATTTATTGGTGGATGGTGCAGCACGCCACCAATTCTATCATTCATGGATGGCCACAATGGATACAACCAGATTTTTATAGTAAAAAAGGACATTCCAAAGATCGCTTTCCGCTGCCCAGGAGCTATTGGTACATATGAATGGATAGTAATGCCATTTGGTTTAAAAAATGCGGGTGCAACTTATCAAAGAGCCATGAACGCCATCTTTCATGACATGATTGGTCGTTTTATGAAAATTTATATTGATAATGTGGTTGTGAAATCTAATGAAGATGAAGAACATATAGAGCATTTAAAGCTGGCTTTTGAAAGAATGAGAAAGCATGGTCTGAAGATGAATCCTTTAAAATGTGCATTTGGCGTTTCTGCTGGAAATTTTCTCTAATATCTAGTGCATGAGCGAGGTCTGGAAGTGGATCAGAACAAGGCAAGAGCTGTTATTGAAGCACAACCGCCCAAGAAGTAAGAAGGAATTACAAAGATTCCTTAGGCAAGTAAATTTTCTGAGACGTTTTATCTTAAATCTGGCAAGAAAGACAAGAGTTTTTTTGCCACTGCTAAAGCTGAAATCAAAAGCAGATTTCAAATGGGAAAGACATCATCAGATCGCCTTTGAAGAAATAAAGCATTATTTATCAAAGCCGCCGGTCTTAGTGCCTCCTTTAAGAGGCAAACATTTGATTTTGTACATATCTGCCGCAGATGAATCTGTAGGTTGTCTGCTGGCTCAAGAAAATAGTAAAAAGCAAGAACAAGCTGTTTATTATTTGAGTCGAAGTCTGTCATAAACTGAAGTGAAATATTCTTCAGTCGAGAAATTATGTCTTGCTTTGTTTTTTGCTGCAATAAAATTGAGGCATTATTTGCTTTATTCCGAGGTTTATGTTATTTCGAAAACTGATGTGATAAAGTATATGTTGTCTCGACCACTGTTGAGAGGCAGAATTGGGAAATGGGTTCTGGCTTTGTCAGAATTCAACCTAAAGTACATGCCTCAAAAAGCTGTCAAGAGGCAGACCTTGGCAGATTTCCTAGTAGATCATCCGTGCCTGGAGGTAGAAGCGGATGAGGAAAAATGTATTAATTTATTTTCCATAAGTCTGGTTCCTTGGAAGCTTATCTTTGATGGATCTAGCACAGATTCCATGTCTATAGCAGGAATTGTTATTATTTCTCCAACTAGTTTGAAAACCCAGATGTCATTTCAGCTAGATTTCAATTGCACCAACAACCAAGCTGAATATGAGGCGTCGATTATTAGATTGGAAGTGTTGGTAGAGCTAAAGGTACCTGTGGTAGAAATAATTGGTGATTCACAATTAATGTTAAAGCAATTAGAAGGTGAGCACAAGTGCACAGTTTGTCTTTGGCACCTTATTTTGCTCTAGCAGTACAGCTATTGGAGGAATTTGATGATGTAATCTTGAGGCATGTTACTTGAGATCTGAACACAGAAGCAAATGAGATGGCACAAATTGCCTCGGGCTTAAAAATCCCAGAAGACGTGATGAGCAGAATTGTTGTTGTGCAAAAACGAATTCTGCCATCTATTAACATGCGTGGTATGACAATTTCTACTTGTTCCATAGACGTAACCCAGACAGATTGGCGCTATCCAATTATGGAGTACCTTAAAAATCCAAATTTTAAGGCCTCAAGAAGAACAAAAATGCAGGCCTTGAATTATGTTTTGTTGGAAGGTGTTCTTTATAGAAGAAGACATGATGAATTACTTTTGCGCTGTCTTGGTCCAGATGAGTACTGCCAGATTATGTCAGATGTGCATAGCGGAATTTGTGGTGCACACCAAGCTGGAATTAAGATGAGATGGCTAATTCGTAGACATGGATTCTTTTGGCCATCGATCTTGAAAGATTGCATCAGCTATGCTAAAGGTTGCAAAGCTTGCCAGATTCATGGACCATTGTAGAAAGTTCCAGCGTCAGAACTCCATCCAATTGTCAAACCATGGCCATTTCCAGGATGTGTCGTAGATTTGATCAATAAAGTTTATCCTCCTTCAACTAGAGGGCATTCTTTTATTATTGTTGCCACAGATTACTTTACCAAGTGGGTGGAAGCAAAGCCAATGAAGAAGGTTGACCAGATCGATATTATTAAATTTCTTAAGGAAGAAATCATTCACAGATTTGGTTTGCCAGAAACAGTGGCTTTAGATCGGGGAACAGTTTTTGTTGGTGCACGAGTTGAGGCATTTGCAAAAGAAATGGGATTTAGGTTACTCACTTCAACCCCTCATTATGCTCAAGCCAATGGTCAAGCTAAAGCTTTCAACAGAATTGTGATAAATCTACTGGAAAAAATGGTTGATGATAATCCAAGGTGTTGGCATGAGCTGTTGTCTAACACAATCTAGGCTTACAGAACTTCACAAAGGAGTTCTACCAAGGTAACTCCATTCTCTTTAACTTATGGACATGATGCTGTTCTGCCCTTGGAGTTATCTGTTAGATCATTGCGTATAGCAATTCAACATAGTCTCACTTCTGGAGAATATAATGAAGTAATGATTCTAGAGTTAGAAGACTTGGAAGGTATGCGATTGATGGCCTTAGATAGGTTGTAAACGCAAAAATTAAAAGTGGCTCGAGCATACAACAAACGGGTGAAATTTGGAAGTCTGGCAGAAGGAGATCTGGTATGGAAAGTAATTCTGCCACCTGGAAAGAAAGACCCTAGATTTGGGAAATGGTCTCCAAATTGGGAAGGACCATTTCATATACATGAAGTGCTTAGAAGAGGAGCATATTGGCTTGAATCATTAAATGGAGAGTTACATCCTCAAAAAATAAATGGAATCTACCTTAACCCTTACTATCCTATGATATGGGAGGCTAGGGTTTGGATACCATTGATTCTACCTAAGACAGATTTGAGGTAGGATTCGTACAGTATTTTATTTCATTGTTTAGCATTTTATCATTCAATAAAAAGTGCTGAGCAGAATTTGTAAGTAGGCCAAATCTAGCTGTGAACAACCACAATGGCCAGATTTCGACCATGACAGATTTTAACCTGTACTAGAGTATGAACAAAAAGTACAACAAGTAGATTTTCAGAATATGAGCAAAGAAAGAGATCAACATTGAAAAAGAAGTTTGCATGGCCTATAGGCCACAAACAATAAGTTCAAACATGACAATGTGCAAGTTCAACTAGCAAAAAAGCAAAGGAGATACATAAAAAAAAAAAATCAACAAAGGTTGTTTTGCCAAGTACTCCATTCTTCTTTCATGTTCTTGATTTCTTTGGGGCTTCATCTGTAGAGGCTGTGAAAGAAGGTAGCTAATCTTTGATCTTGGCAGCAGTTTTCAAACCAACTTCCATGTCTACGTGGAGCTTGTTTCTTTGATCTGCCAAATTCTTCTCAGTTTGCTCCGCAAGAGGAACTTGGTTTCTTAACTCTGAAAGCTTGGCTTCAAGGTTAGAGATTTCTTCTTTAAGCTCTTGGAGATGTTTAACTTGTGTGACATGAGCATCCTTTGCTGCCAAGAATTCTTCCTTCTTCTTAAAGACAATGGCAGTGCTATCC